GGCTACTCAAATATTTTACGTTTTTGATACTAAATTAACTTCTGAAGTATAATTTTTTTTATTGTTTTAAATTTTTTAATATATTTATTTTGTTAGTACAAAATAAAGAAATAATTTTTAACGATACAATAGTCTTCGTTAGGCTTAACATCGACGAAAATTCAACGCGAAGCGACACGAAACGGAGAAAAATGTCGAGATGGGATAAATTAATATATTTTTTCGTACATAATCGGTTATTCGAAACATCGATCTTCCGAACAACTCCAGTCCCCAATTGATTCGGATAATTGACGCTCTACTGTATTTAAAGACTAATAAATGAATGACAATTAATTGCATATTCAAGAAAGAATTCACAATATAAATGTATAAATTAAAACTCACCACAGATTTTAAGAACAAGCAGTTTTCAAGTTGTACATAGCCATTACGATTCTTCATGCATGCAGTTTGACGAATACTAATAATCAAGTCGTACTTTCTTCCTTCAGCGTATTTCTAAAGAATATGAAGAAAGTTATCGTACAGGATAAACGTAATTAAATTACCCTTATTCCAGACTGTTTGGAGGAAAATGCAGCAGTCTTAACTCGAAATTATGTATGCTGCCGTTTACAGATATATGGTATAAAATTAGTTCTAAAAGTTACCACTAGGGAACTTTAGGCGATGCGAGTGGCAAAAAATGAATAGCATATGCATAATGCCTTCGTGCTATGGTTTAAAACTTTCTAGGCATGTGGAATGTCATTCATTTTGCTTTTGATCAGCAGAAATTGTCGTTGACAAATCTGAATGACTCATTCTTGTGGAGCTCTTTAATGAAAACAATGCCAACACTGCAATTAGACTTTGAGTTTTATGTCACATTCAGAAATATTGGCTGGAGTTCTTTCGCCGCTCGCAGCGACAGAAATCCCATATTAGTAAGTTTTAGAACTAAAGACTACAAAAGACATAGACGATTCCTCCTAAGGTCTCGGTTCCTGGGAAGACTTTTTCAGATGTGTAACATCAAGTGGGGATCAGATTCTAAGTTTTTACTTAGATGATCCCTTCTTAGATTTTATACACCTGAAAAGCACGGAAAACTATGTGGCCATCCCACGAATTTGCAATAGACTAATCAGTGTTTAGTAGTTTTTCCCCCTCAGCTAACACTGATACAACGAATGGTAATAAGTATATAATTAATTAAACACTGTGAATTAAATTTTTGAAGGCCTTGTATGGATTGTACTAGAAAATTGAATAAATAAAAAGTTCTTACCTGTCTTCTGATGCTTAATACTTCGTTCAATCTGAAGTAATAAGAATATTTTACATGAAAGTTAATGGCATTGACTGTCGATTTGACAACCGTTTGTGCTTCAGAATCGTTCATATCGACAATTTCCCACTTTGCTGCATAACTAAGAACAAAAATAATTGCTAAGAGATACTTCATGTTTAAATTTTAACCCGAAAATGAATGTAAGCACGTAATGTTTGTATAGGCACTTTAGTGATTTGCATTTTCATATTTAAAATATGCAGTTGCATTATTTAAAAACAGAAGAATTACTCTTTAATAAACTTCAATTTTTTGAATAGAAATGATTCGTTTTAAAATATTTTATTCTAAATGTAAATTTGCTTTACGTTAGAGGATGTATATCAGTCATCACCCGGCAACTCTACTGTGGGTCTACCCAAATGGGATCATACACATGCGCCCTCTTAGCGGCCACAGAGCAAAAGGAGTTAAATATGTGTATTTTTTCGTTTCATTTATATTTATTTTATATATACTATATAAATTGAAAATAAATATATTGCTATATATTATACAGCTATGTAAATTTCAGTTATATACAACGATTCACTGAATGAAAGTATTGTTTTATTAAGCTTTTAGAGTTGTGCTAAAATTATTTGTAATTTTCTGTTTTATGAAAATATTTAACAATGTGACTTTCAGAATTGCCTGTAGTCTTTCTTAGTTCCGAATCGTTAACGATGTGTTAATGATAACACGTGACAAAATGACAATGCGACTTTAAAGA